AACTTACCCAGCTTTAGGGCTCTCCGAGGAGATAACACCCCTACTGCTGCTCTGCGGGGTCTCCGCATGGTCACTATGGCAAAGTGGTTACAATGGTGCTCCTGGAGCTGTTTCTGGAGGTAGGAGAAGGCTAGGCTAGCTTCTCCTTCTTGTGATATAAGGTCGGGTCCGAACCCTTTGCATGGGCTTCCCGGGGGATTTATATAGGCCTACCCCCCAAGGGTACAATAGTAATCCGGCTGGGAACGGGTCCCAGCCGTCTGTCTCTCAGGTCGTCGTCCTTCCTTCCGACTACTGGGGCCCGCCGACTGGCGGGCCCCACGGACAGGCGTGAGACTGTAGCGGTACTCCTGATGACGCTGGCTTGGTCATGTGGTCATGGCTACAGCGCCGCCGCCTGGCGTGCGTTCACTGTCGCCACTCCCCATCTTATCTGGTTAATGGCGTGCGGGGCCCGGGGGAGGGGTCGGCCGACTCCAGGGGGCCGACTCCCTCCGGTCCGTCTTCATGGCACTCATGCCGTCTTCGGTCTACCCACTAACGGGCGGCCCCGCCGCCCTTGGGTCGTACAGGCCGGCGTCATGGGCACAGTGCGCCGCCTACTGTGGCTGAGGTCAGGGCAGGCATGGCCACAGTGCCGCGTCTCGCTGGAGATCTCCAGCGGTACGGCTCACTGTAGCCATGCCGGCTCGTCGTAAGCAAAGGGGAGGGGGGACTGCCATGCCGTGGCCGTACCCCGCCTCATCCTTCGAGATGTAGGTGGAGTCGTGGGCCGACTCTCCATAGCCGGCCTCTCTCGAGGTTGCCCGCCAGGAGTCGGCTTGTCTTGGAGTCGCCATCTGGGACTCGGCTTGTCGCGGAGTCGCCGCCTGGGACTCGGCATAACTTGGAGTCGTTCCTGGGACTCGTCATATCTTAGAGTCGTCCCAGGGACTCGACATGAGGGGCGCGGCCTGCCCCGATGTCTTGAAAGGTCCTGGGCCACGAGTTGGCCTACCCGTGGCCCATTACTCCGACAGCTAGCTCGCGCGTCTGTAATTGTTTTTTTCCAGATTTCTCTTCAACTGTGTTGTTTATTGAAAAACCGGTGGCCATTTTTTTGAATAAAAATCTTTCAAAGACATTTGGAAAAGTTCATGGATTTGAAAAATGGCATTTATTTCAAAAAAATATATTTAAGAAAAGTTCAACAATTTTGAGAAAAAGTTCACAAATTTTGAGAAATACATCAAGGGTTCGAAAAAAGTTCATCAAATTATGATAATACAAGTTCATGAATTCAAAAATAGTTTGCCGGATTCCGAAAAAAAACAAGGCTTATTGATTAGAAAAAAACATCAATTTCGATAATAAAAAGTGCACCGAACTGAAATTTTTATTGATTTTGGGAAAAAAACACGGATTTTCTAAAAAAAAGTTCGCGGATCTGAAAAAACTTCATCACTTCTGAAAAAAAGTTCACCGGATTTTATAAAAAGTTTATGAATTTGAAAAAGTTTACCAATTTTGATAAAAAACATCACGAATTTGAACGGAAGAAAAGGAAAACATGAATAGAGAAAAAAGAAAAAAGAAAAGAGGAAAGAGGAAAAGACGAAAAAAGATGTAAGCAATCATTCAAGTTGTGGTGTCTAGTTGGCTTACACTGATCGAGCAGGTTGCGGTTTTCAATCACACAATGGGTTGACTTTTTCTCAGGTCAGAAAAGAAAAAGGTTAAACAGGCCGTTTTTTTCAGTTTCCTGTTTTTCTTTGTTTTTTTAACTGGTTTTCTTCATTATGCTTTGTTTTTCTTAAGTTTCTTTTCTTGGTTTTCATCATTTTCTATATGTTTTCGTATAAGGCATGAACATTTTTCTAATACTTGTTTAGCATTTTTGTTAAATACAAGTTTAATATTTTTTAGTACACGGTCAATATTTTTCTGTTCAGATTTCCAACCTTTTTCGAATACAAGATTAATTTTTTAATATAGTGTCAACCTTTTTTTCTATGCACATTTTGAAAAGTTTTCAAATGCTTTGATTAGCATCTATAAATTACAAGTTTACCATTTTTATTACTTTGTCAACATTTTTCCTATACACAGTTAACATTCTTTTGCAAATGCTTAATTTATATTTTTTAAATACAAGATCAACATTTTATTAATACATGGTCAACGTTTTCTCTATCCGCATTAAAAAAAATTCAAATGCTTGATTTTTTTCCAAATGCAAGCCTAGTATTTTTCAAATGCAAGAATAATATTTTTGTAAACATGTTCAACGCTTTTCCTATACATATTTAATATTTTCAAATGCTTGCTAATTTTGTTAAATACTTGATATTTTATAAGTACATGATCAAAATTTTCACACATTGTATATTGTTTTGTATACATTTTTGGTATACACAGAAAGATTTTCTGTATACAAATTCAACATTTTTTAAATGCTTGGTTTACATTTTTATTAAATTTTCAATGTAAACTTTTTATGTAATATATTTTTAATTTTTAATTTTTTAAATTTAAATACAATAAAATAAAAGTAAAAATAAGCGAGCAAAAAAAAAAACTAGGCTGTGGCCTCCAGCGAACCTGGCCCAGCGGCCAGCCCATGTTGTTTCTCACTACTATCGTTTTAGGGTTTTTCAGCTGGTTTTGTATTTGTCTAAAAAACCTGTTATTTATTCAGTTGTTCTTTTTTAGTTTTCACGTCCCTTTAGTTTTTTTCCAAAAAAATTGTCAACATTTTTCAACCCTTGTTTCTTTTCAAATTCATGATTTTTTTAGATTCGGAAGATTCGTAAAATTCGCGATTTTTTTCAATTCATGAACATTTTTCAAATTCACAAATATTTTAGAAATCATGGAAATTTATTGAATTCGGAACACTTTAAAATCATGATCCTTTTAAGAAAATGTGAATTTTTTTAACTTGTGCTCTTTCCAACTTCGTGAGTTTTGCATATTTAAACATTACTTTAAAATCTTTATTAATTTCTCGAAGGTTCTTTCAATACTCGAACATTTTTTTATTTGTGAACATTTTATGAGTTCACAACCATCATTTCTAAGGGTACCTACAACGTAGGATGCTTAGGGAGGCGCAGGATCGATTTCCTACCAATTTTCCCACTGAGTGGCAGTTAGGCCCAGTAACCCCGGCATCGGACGCTGCATCGGCGCAAAGGCAGGCATCAAACGCCTAGCCCTTTTCACTCCCGCAAGAGGCGGCCTGGCAACGGCAGCTCGACATCGAGGCCGACAACGTCAAGGCCAGGCAAAAACAGCTCGACATCGAGGCCACCAATGCCGCCACCAAAGTGAAAGAGGTGGCCCTGGCGATCATGAGCGTGGACTTGTCGAAGATGAGCGAGAAGACGAGGGCCTGGTTCGAGGCCAGGCAGAAGGAGATGCTCGACGCCGACGGCCTGAACTAAGTCGTTCGATCGGCCGTGGCCGTTCTTTTTTGGAGGCTGGCATGGTTGCCGCCCGCCCGCTGGGCCGCTGGCCATGTGCCGGCGAGAAAAACATTCATTTTGAAGGCCGGCTGTGTTGCCGGCCGCTGGCTGTGTTGCCGGCGAGGACAACCATTCATTTTGGAGGTCGGGCTGTGTTGCCGGCCGCTGGCTAATGCCGGCGATGGACGTGTAGGCCGCTGGCTTTGTTGCCGGCGTGCGTGATGAACTGCGGCCGTAGGGCTTTGGCATTTGACACGTTTCTTTCTTTCTTTTTTATATAAACGCGGACAAGATGGGGTAAATGATGCGAGCGCCCGCTGGACGCACGGCCACCGCATCCCCAGACAGGCCCGGACACGACCCCATCCCGCTGCCCAAACGGACAAAATCCAGACAAAACGGACGTCCGTTTGGGGTCGCGCGATGAAGTTGGCCTAAGCGCCTAGAAGTTGGCCTAAGCGCCTAGTTAGGTACTCCCTCCGTTTCTTTTTACTCCGTCTATAAGTTTTGATCAAAGTCAAACTACACAAAGTTTGACCAAATTTATATTAAAAAATATGAACATCTACAATACTTAAACTATATAATATGAAAATACATTTCATGGTGGATTTGAAAATGTTGATTTCATATCGTAAATGTTGATATTTACAGTTGATGTTTCATGGTGCAGACTAAAAGAAACGGAGTATCTACTGTTGTAGATGCCCTAAGGCGCTAGAGTGAAGGTGCGTAAATAGATAAAAAATTGGCCGTCATTGTGGGCTAATCTTTAATCCAGAGATGGGGTGGCCTAAAATAAAAGATGATAAGCATATTGCCATTTATGATCGATTTTAAGATTGGGAATGGTACTATCCTCTACTCACTCTGTTAAAAGATATAAGATGTTTTAACTTTTTGTTGAATGAAATGTATATAGACACGTTTTAGGACCTCTTTGATTCGCAGGATTGTCAAAATGAAGGAATAGGAAAAATGTAAGAATAGGATGGCATGTCCTATAATATCCTACAGGATTTGAAAGAATGTTTGATAGCACAGGAAAAACAAAGAAATTCTACAAAGAGGTTTGAGTGGATGGAATTTTTCCTTCAAAATGTAGTACAAATGGATACTATGAAAAAATTCCTAAGGACGTCAATCCTACGAATCAAACAAGCATTACAGGAAAAATTCCTAAGGGTTCAAATCCTCTAAAAATCCTATGCAATTCCTTTGAATCAAATGAGCCCTTAGCGTGTTTCTCCACTCATTTAAGTCTTTATGTAATTTATATTAAAATATCCCCAACATTGCATACTTGTGAATGGAGGGAGTATTCGTTCGCGACAAAAACCAAAGGTGGCAACCCATGCATGTTACAAAACTTAGAGTACAATATCTCGCTCGAATTTATTGCAATCACATCCCACACAAGTACTGAGCACGCTCACCTAGCAAACAACATAGGTGTAACAGCACGTACGTAGGTCGTGTGTAGCCATATGCATATAGTTCGACCATGTATATCCCTTTTTTTTTTTAGACTAACCAACCATGACCCTTGTGGTCTCAGCAGCCTTGGATCTCCACGGCCTTGACCTGCGGCTTCTTGGCCTCTTCCTCCTTGGGCACGGTGACCGTCAGCACGCCGTCCTCCATGGACGCGCTCATCCCGTCCACCCTCACGCCCCCCGGCAGACGGAACCTCCTCTCGAACCCGCCGCTCCTGCGCTCCACCCGGTGCCACCGCTCGTCCTTGCCGCCACCCTCCTCCTCCTCCTTGGCGCGCTGGCCGCTGATGACCAGCACGTCGCCGTCCACGACTTCCACCTTGGCGTCGCCCTTCCGGACGCCGGGGAGGTCGGCCGTGAAGACGTGCGCGGCTGGCGTCTCCTTCCAGTCGACGCGGACGTTCGTGAGCTCGGGGCAGCGCTCGGCCAGGGCGCGGACGGCGCCGCCGAAAGGGTCCGCGTCCGCCCAGAAGTCCACCGACAGCGGGTTGCCCAGCACGCCGCTGCACCGCGCCAGAGCCATTTGCTCGCTGCTCACTTAGTTGATCTGCTCGCTGCGCTGTGCGCTCTCGTATTGACTTGCTCGTTCGCAATCCCTAATAGCCGTATGTGTGAGTGTGAGTGTGACTGTGTGAGGCGATGTACTACGTGCATGGATGTGCGCCTTTATAAGAGAAATGGGTGTGTAGTGATCTCTGGATGTGTCAGGCGACTCCTCCAGAGTTGGTAGAGAATTCGAGAGTGGCCCGCGGTTGGTGCCGCGAGCATGCTCGGCGTTGCGAGAAACATCTTTTCTTTTTCTTTTCTTTTTTGAGAACTGCGAGAAACAAATTTTTTTAAGACAACCTCGCAAAGCTTTATTACGTCGTCACAATGTATACAGAGACGAATAAAATGCCTTCACGCTGGCCTAACCAAACATGACGACCAACACTCAGAGTTAGAGCATGCTTTGCTAAGCTGTGAGCATCGTAATTCGAGCTCCTAGACTGATAAACTACTTTACATGAAATGAAAGAGGACGCTTGCAACTCAATTTCTCTAACCACTGGCCCATAAGCCGCAGTGCTTCTCCTGCCAATCTCACTTGCAACAGCCTTGCAATCTGTAGCAACATGTGCTTTTGTGATGTTTAGATCAGCTGCTAGATCGAGGCCTTCCCGTACTGCCAATGCTTCTAGAGTAGAAGGATCTTTGATATGTTTGAAGATAATGGCTGATGCTCCAAGGAAATTGCCGATTACACCTACCCCTAGACTAAACACCCAAAGTCTAGTGTAAACCCTGCTCATATCCACCGTAAAACGCCTGGCAGCCTGTCCACCCAACCGGTGCAGACGTTCGGCATGTCATGTTTCTTTTTCTTTTCTAATGTTCGGGAATTTCACATATTGTTCAAAATTTCAAAAATTATTCATAATTTCACAAAATGTTCCTGTTTTCAAATTTTGTTCATAAGATCAAATATTATTTGTGTTTGTCAGAAAAATGTTCCTCTTTTCAAATTTGTACTAAGTTAAAAAATGTTCACGTTTTTCTAAAACAAATAAAAATATAAAAAGTGTCATTCCAAAAAAGGTTCATAAAAGTAGTCTCCAAATTTGTGGTTATCTCCGCACACACGACGTGAAGTTTTTGTAAAACTTGTCTGTAGGAATAGGATTTCTATTTCCGAAAAACGTTCAAAAATTTATAGAAAGTGTTCGGATCCGCCATTGCAGTTCTCTCTTAAAACGTCACGCTGTCCGTTTGGTTTGTAACGTGCCCTGGTGAGCTCAACTGGCTGGCAATGCCAGTTCATAAGCGAGACGATAGCAGTTCCACAACTTTCAGTGTTCATTCTTTTTTGAAGAATTTTTATGTCGCACCGTACCAGCACAGGGGCGGACTGCCGCGCTCGCCAATGGGCCGGCCAGTCGGAGTTGTGTGTGTGGGTTGCGAGCCTATTTGACGCAGAACACGTTAAATAGACACCGCCTCCACGTCGCATCGGCCCACTATGGATACCTTTGGCTGATCCATCTCCATGATCCTTTTGTATATCACTTCAAGTGGTCTATGATCAATAAAACTTAGCTACACCCCTAAAAGAAAAAGAAAAAACTTATCCCCACAAATACCTCAGCTGAACGACGAACCCTAGTCAACCGCACTCTCTCAATTTCTCCGCTCCACTCACATCCCCTTCCCCTTGCTCTCCCCGGCCTCTCCCCTTCTCTCTGCAATAGCCAGAAGCAGATCCGACAGCGGCGATGACTCCATTAAGTGGGCTAAGCTCGTCGCGGAGTCCTTGAGCTTGTTCACGCCAAACGACGAGGCGCTCGTGCTCCGCATTCCCCCCGCAACTCGCGGATGGATCGAGGCAGGAGCCTGTCCTCGAGGACACCGGCGGTAGGAGAGGGCAGTTGTCGCTCTGCGCTGCCCAACGCTGTCCGGGCCCTCCCCGCCAGCACCTCCTCCCCCTGGGTGTCGCTGGGTGCTAGTGCTCGCATCACCGAGTTCGCGGCCGTGACATCGGTTGCTGGAGGCCAAGGGTCGCGCTTCTCGGTGCACAATTAGGGCGGTGTATGCCACGTCAGGCCGCTCCGACTACACGTTTTGCAGATCGGTGCCGAAGCTGCTCCCACCCGCATTCGATGGAGACGTGGCGCTACGCAATCCGTCGCTCCTACACCTCTGAGGTGACGAACGCCCGCCGATGGGGCCACAAAAATGCGGCGGCTCTTCAGATGGGGCTTGAGGAGTCCAAGAGGTTGGTAAGGTAGAGGGCGATGGCGGCTGCGGAGAGAACCGCATGGCTCGCGAGGGTGGAGGTCCAAGCCACTCATCGCATGGTGGGGATCATCGGTTCCTCCTTCTCCTCGGACATTGGCAAGACATAAAACAACGCTCTAGGTTTCTCCGCCTGTCTCTCTAGGTTTAATTACTTTCTAATCTTGCATTTTTGTTAAGTGATGAACTTCGTCGGCTTTTTTGGATCGAGTTGTACTCTATCTGTGTCCCATTGTTGTGTTCATAAGATGTATCGATGATCTATTCAGTGTGTATGTTTTCAGTTTTTGTATGGATTTAGGTGCGGGCATATACGGAATGCCGCTGCGCAAATGGAGTGTGCCCGGCCACTAACCGCAGGCCTGCCCATTCGAGCCCGTGGGCGCATCGAACTCCAAATTTTTTTTGAGGGAAATACTCGTGATTATATTATGTTAAGGAAAACATTACAAGGAGACATACAGTAGATACGAGTACATCCACGCAGGATACGGAAGAACACCAAATCCAACTCAACCACACAGCCGCTGCTACCCCCATCTCGCCGTCGTCGCCGCCGGAGAGAGAAGAAAAGCGACCAACCCCTTTAGATCCGGAGAAGCACCATCGCTTGTAAGCTTTGTGAGCCGCACAATCGTAGCCCACCGCGAGAGGCGAGATCTTGAGCAGAGCTGAAAAGCTCAGGCGGCCGGAGCAACGCCCCATGCCGCACCGGATCCGCATCGGCCAGCTTCGCTGAAGCAGGTTCAAAGACCAATCGCCGATGAACAACCTCCAGTCCTTCATCCCTGTCGTAGCCACCTCCCGCATCCACAACAAAAGAAGCGTCAGAAGCATCTTCCCATGGAGCCGAAGAAGCGGACAAGCCCCAACCACCGCTCCACAGGGCCAAAGCCGCGAACGCCATGGGTCAGAATCCTCGACCCCCCTCGCCGTCTCGCCACACCAAAGAGCCCAGCGGTGACCGACGACGACGACGACCAACTCGCAGGATCGTAAACACTCAGATCCGCGAGACCAAAAGGACCCCAGCTCCTCACCAGTGCCAAGAACGACGCCGGGCGAGCGAAGAAGGAGATAGGGCCACTTTATTCCGCACACCGACGCCTCCTCCGCCATGACGCCGGTGCAAAGGACACCAAACCTAGAAAATCTAGGACTATATACACCGCCAGGCATCAGATCCGGGATCTCCCACCCCTCCGGCAGCCATAATGGCCACCGGAGGTGAAGGAGACCACCGGTCTTGCCGACGGGGACAGAGGAACTCCTGGGTCTCGCCCTGCCCTCTTCTGTAGGCAGTTTCGAGAGAGGACGGGAAGAGAGAGCCTTGTAACGTTCGTGTGCTGTGTGTGTTCTAGGGTTTAGGATTCGGGGGCGATCGAACTCCAAATTAGGGTACTAGGTTTGTAGATGCTCTAAGCCGATGAGGGCTATATCATCGACCAAAAAAGATAGGGCAATGATCTGCGCCGGCGCGCCGGCCCAAATTTGGGCCGGTCGCGCCCCAGCCCTCAGTTTCGAACAATATCAACCGTAAGATCCGTTCCTCTTTTCTCCTCGATGCACACAGGACCCCCATGCTGCTGCTGCGGGAGAGAAACACCGGGGCTAGCCGGAATCCCACGCCCAACCAAAAACCCCTCCCCTTCCTTCGCCGAGAGAGAGCTAGGGCACGGACTTCAACCCCAAGTGCCGCCTAGGGTTAACGTCCTCGCTGCCGCCGGCACCGGTTCGGCACCGGCGTCCACCTCTGTCGACGCGTCTGCCCCACGTATTCTTCTCCCCATGTTGATCGTCTGAGGTGCGTTTCACGTGTTGTGGAAGTCTGACGTCTAGTCGCGGTGGCTAGGGCGTTCCTGGAGAGGCCGATCTTGCTCGTGTCTCCTGTCTGGATGGAGTCCAACTCCGATCCTCGTTGTCTTTGTGTATGGTGAGAGACCCCTGCTGTATACGTAAGGATGAAGGTCATGTTGACGTCATTGGATC